AGAACATCAATATTTATTTTTTGGATAATAGATAAATAAAAGAATAGTTTTATTTTAATTAAGTAAAAATTATTTCAATCAATTTAACAATTTCTTGAGCTAAGAATATATATTCTTTAAAATTTTCGAGAACATACAAGTTCTTGTATCAAGAAAATTTTTTTAATAAAAGTATTTTTTTTTCTCTGTGTAATAGTAAATTATAAAAATTAATTAGCAAGTGCGTTGATTGTTGGTTGATTGATTGTCAATAAAATGAGTGACAAAGTCGCCGGCGGCAATGCCAGAGACTAATTTCTGATAAGTAAGACATAAATGTAAGTAAACTCCCGTATTACCAGAATATACGTAATTGTTTCGATGAAGAGACAGGTTTAAATATGAAGCTGTAATGCAGAAGTCAACATTGTTTGTACATAATCGTTTTGCTGGATGGTTTTTAGTTTGTATCGACGATCAGGATCACGATGATAATGATAATGATGATGAGTCCGCGGCAATTATAACGGGTGACGTAAAAAATCTGGCGCCAACGCTTGACCAGCTACTGTTTCCACTTCCCCTTTAATCGTGGATGTTTTTTCTACTCCTGTCCCTCGGGCGTTCTTTCTCGATGACAGATGGTCGCTTTCATGGAATTAATCGAAAGACATTAATTCTTCTTGTATTTATATTTATTTCTCTCTCATCAGTTGTTCACTAAACTTTGAATCAGTATCCGTAAGGATAGTACCATTTTACTTTATATATTTTATAGCATATATACATACATATATACATTACACAGTGTGTTTTGAATAATTTTATCGCGTATTAGATTTTATAAATTAGCATTTATTATTAATTTTGGATGAGACGTCGGCTCGACAGCCAAAACGATCAACAGTTCGGTGGACCGCAGACTCGAGAAGAATGCTACGGGGTGTCGGTTTGCATTTGCATAGATTATTCATTCTAAAGGATATACCTTGCTCTTATAATACACGCCACAACACATATGTCTATATAACTATATAACTATATCTGTATCCATATCTACACGAACATGGACAGATAAAAAATAAAATATATAAAAGAGAAATAAAATTCGACTGATGTCTGATGTGTGATCTCTGATCAGTTATATTACTTGAGTTTAAATATATACACGGATCAAAAAATATATTTTCGTTTTATTTAAACCTTTTTTTTGGTAGCCAGTCAGTTGAAGAAAATATTTTTTAACATGCCTTTTAAAATACATCGAGGGAAAGGTTGTTGACTGCAACCAAATATATATTCATGGCGAATCAATTATTGGATCGAAAATCGAGATGACAGAAAAAGAAACTTGCTACGGAGATAAATAATAATAAGCAACCTTGCAATAACTATGTGACTGCCGTGAACTATAAATAAATAAAATTTTGAATTTCGTTAAATTGCACTCTACTTTTTTAAATATTGAGGTTTTTAAAGATATAAGCTCATTCCGATGTTACACTCATCAAGAGCTTTCATTTGAGTACCCACATGCATTATTGATATATTTTTCATATATACATACATATATATATATATATATATATATATATATAT